GCGATTCAAGGTTTTGGTGTAATTCCGCCAAACCCGAGGAGATGCCGCTGTCGCTGCACCGGGACACGCGAAGTTCAAAAATCACGCCCAAAAAATCCCAACCCCGGGGCGCACGCGAGCCGGGAGCGCAGGGAAGGGGGAAACACCTGAAGGAAAAAAAGGGCGAGGATGAGAGAAACCCGCAGGGGTTTTTACAGCCGGGAACCGCTGCCTTTCCTCACCTGCCCGGGGACAACGCGGCCCCCAAAGCCGAGCGGTGACACCGAGCGGGACAGGGCAGGGGCCGAGGGGACGCGATCCAAACCCCAAACCCAATGCCAACCCCGCAGGAATGCCGCGTTTGCTCCGGGAACTCACCTGCCCTCCCCCAGGCAGGTGACACAGCCCCCGACCCGCGGGGAGGGCGACACTGGGACCCCGGAGAGAGAATCCAACCCCGGGACCCCGCAGGGAAAATCCAAACCCTGGGAGAGCCCCAGGACCCCGGAGAGAGAATCCAAACCCTGGGAGAGAATCCAACCCCGGGGAGAGCCCCGGGACCCCGGGAAGAGCATCCAGTGCCGGACAGAGCCCCCGGACCGAGCCCCCGATCCCGGACAGAGCCTCCAACCCCGGGCAGAGCCTTCAACCGCGGGTAGAGCCCCCGGATCGAGCCCCCGGACCCCGGTCAGAGCCCCCCGAGCTGGGGCAGAACCCCTGGACCCCGGGGGAAACCCTCCGGTCCCAGGCAGAACCCCCGGTACCGGGCACAGCCCCCAACCCCAGCGGAGCTCTCCCCGATCCCGGGCAGAGCCCCCGGCCCCATCCCTGCCCACCCTCCTCCTCCTCCTCCTCCTCCTCCTCTCCCGGTGCCCCCGCTCCCCTCCGGGCCGTGCGGGGCCCGTGCCCCGCTTCCCCCGCCGCCCACCGCCGGGCCGGGCCGGGCCTAGCGCTGCTCGGCTGCGCCGCCAGGCCCGGGGGAAAGGAAGGAAGGAAGGAAGGAAGGAAAGAGGGGGAAGGGGCTCGGCGGCCGCGCGGGCGGCCCCGCACTCACCCAGGCCGGTGCCCTCGGGGCCGCCCCCGCCGCCGTCCATGCCGGGCGGCGCGGGGAGGGGGGCGCGGGCGGGCGCGGCGGCGGAGGGCGGAGGGCAGGGCGGCCGGGGCCCTCCCTCCCTCTCTCTCTCTCTCTCT